AAAAACAAAACAAAACATGATTCACTCAAAAAAAAAATTTATCAAGGGTTCATGAGGGTGGGGGAGTGGGGAGAGAGGGGGTAAAATGAGGAGCTGATGCCAGGGGCTTAAGTGGAGAGCAAATGTTTTGAGAATGATGAGGGCAATGAATGCACAAATGTGCTTCACACATTTTTTTGTGCTTTACACACTTGATGAATGTATGGATTGTGATGAGTTGTCTGTGCCCCTAATAAAATGATTAAAAAAAGAAAAGAAAACCAAGAAAGAACACACTTGATGTTTCTCAAACTAAAAGAACTGAAGAAAAAATTCAAGTTGTGGGAGGTAATATTAAGAGTCTACAGAGGAACTACTGAATGACACTGGGAGTGCGGAGCTTAAAATGAAGGAATGTACTGTCACTGTAGTACAAATCTGTGGTGGACATTCAACCACTTCAGAGGACAACACATGATCAGGAACTCACAAAGCTGAAGGCAGAGGTGCAAGCTGCACCTAAGTTAGGGCCTGATGAAACACCAACTGAAATGTTTCACCCAACTTGAATGCAACATGACAAGTTCTCAAGACAAGTCTATGCCGTTTAAGCTGAACAACAGCTACCTGACCAACCAAAGGAAACATGCGGCCTGTAGCAGGTGCTCCTCAAAGGGAAGTGCTGACACCAGACCCTGTTCTCAGCAACTGGACTCAGGGAAGCCCCTCTCCGTTCCCTGAAATCCCATGTCTGGTTCTTGGTACCCCGAGTACTCCAAAGCCACAGGACGAGAACATGCTCACCAGAATATACCCTTTGCATAATGAACATTACATTAAATATCTTTAAATTGGGTATCAAGGTTCTACACTTATGTCATGATTTAAAGGGGCCTCTGGTGGAGACAACTGCGGACACACCAGGGGCAGGTCTGTCCTTATCTCTATCAGAACCCCTTCTATTTATCACTAAGGAACTGTCCCAGTTTAGCTCTGCTTAAGGACCGACCAGAGATGGGCTTCTGTCACGTTTAAACTACAAGGTTAAAGCAGTTATTTGGTCTCACATGTGAGCCGTGTCTGAGGAATAGAGGGGGAATAGTTTGAGAAACCATCTTTCCAAATAGTTCAACAGAACCTCAGCAGTTCCCGTAGCGCTGATTCAGGGAAAGTGATTTGAGGGATATAGACTTGTTCACTGGGCCCATTCCTTGGCCTGGACCCCTGATCCTCATACTCCAATCCACACTCCAGTAAAGAAAGACAGCTGGCAATCGGTCTCTTCAGAACGGCCTTCCTTACCTCTCTCTTGAGTGAGGCCACATAGGTCCAGGAGTTGGTGGCGGGATCATAGCGCTCCACAGCATTCAGGTCATTGTGGTAGTCTCGGCCAGCCACAGCGTAGATATACTTGCCTACAACACACACGCACAGGTCGGCGTGCTCTTGCTGTAGGGACTGGATCTGGAACCAGCGGTTGTGCCGAGGGTCATACCTTTTGCAGGACAACAAGAACAGCCCATCACTGACTAGATGAGTGCTGCCCCCAGGGCCCTGGACCTCCTGCTCTGGCCTGTTCACTCACCCACGCTTCATGGTCAGGCCTCGAGCCTACTCTAACCCAAGTACAGTCCTGCAAAATGTGGAGCTAAGACTGGCTTTTAGTTCAGTTGACTGTCCACCCTGGGCCGCCCTGCAGTCACTTCAGTCTCACCTCTCTAAACTCAGGGCCCTAAGGCCCTCCTTGAGTAGAGCCCCGCAGTATGACCTCGACACTGGACCAGCCCAACACTCCCTTCTTAATGGTATTCTGCCACTTTCCACGCATTTTTATACATGCCTGGGGACTGTGTGCCCAGGACAAGCCCTTTGAGTGCCTACAGTCCCTCCACCCTTCTGACCAATGTCTGCCAGAGCCTTCCCACCTGGTAGTTTACAGTCGTAAATGGAACCCCCACTTCTTCTCAATCCACCCTCTCATCCTACAAGTGGCTCACTTGCTCCTCACTCAAATTAGACATCTCCCACTTCTCATAATCTGCAGAAGACAGACCTACAGCCTGTACCCCAGGCAGGGTCCCCTGTTTCCCTGCTATGCCCTTAGTCCTTCTGTCCCATGCGTCACCACCCAGGGGGTCTCAGTCAGAGGCTCCTCCTCGTCTGGTCCAGCCCATCCCACCTCAAAGAAAATCCACAGGAGATGCCCTTGTTCACACACCTGGATGTGGGTCTCAGGCCCTTCATGGTCAAGTCCACCCTGCTGCTCTAACATGGCCCCCTGCAGTTCCCAAGGCCTCTCAATACCAAATTCTTCTTGCTACCACCAGGTCCAACCCAAAAGGCGCATAGATGGCTGTGGGGCAGGAAAGTATAGCCACACAGCTATGGGGACCCCAGGAGCCCGAAGTGCATGCTTCTTGAGGAGCCACCCAGACACCAGCATTGGGTGAACCCAGGGTTCTGGAACATTCTTGCTCAACAGCCCACAGTGAAAACTACCTTTCTCCTTCATATACGCATGTTCTACTTCTACAGAGTAACCCTGACACCCTGGAGAACAAGTCCAACCTCAGTGGGTTCAGGAGAGTGCAGGAAGTTGCTCGCTAGGAAGAGGCCAGCTTCACCTTCTGTTTCCGTGCACAAGTGATTCGGGACTACAGGACCTCCGGCGCAGGGTGGACAGGAGACAGAGTATATAACTGGTCATACCAACTTGGTCCGGATCCTGGCCCTGGCTAGTTGGGAGCAGTGGTGTCATTTTAATTTCTCAGCCTTCACCAATTTCTGCTTCTGTCCAATGAGCTGCCTGCCTAGGAGCGCCATTATGGGGTATCACAAAGAGACAGTGTCAACTCAACTTGGAAGTCATCCCTAAAGGACTGGGGGGTCATGCTTGCAGATGCTGAGCCATTGGGTCAGGGTAAACTGTGCCTGTCTGAACACACCACTCCACCAACAGAAGACCAGACCTGAATCCATCCCATCTGCACGTCTCTCAATTCTTGGTGCTAGGCTCAGTGCTGGGAATCACAGCTAAGCTTGAGACGAGGCCCCCTACCTCTATTGCAAGCCAGAGACGGAGGAAACAGGCAGCAATTTAGTAGCATGACAAGGATTGGGAGGGATGAAAACCCAAGGAAGGAGAGGGCAGTGCTCTCTGAAGGGCCAGGAAGGGTCTAGAAGGTAGTATTTGCAACCCGAGTGCTGGGGTGCAAACCAGGCGACGGTCTGACCGCACAAGGGAACAGTATGCACCAAGGCCCCATAAACTGGCTGGGCTGGCTCCTTCCCCAGCCTCACCAAGGTTCATGTGTGCGAGCATCCTTCCTCCTCACCATTAAGCCTCGCGTGTGGAAGCATCTGCACCTCCTGCTGGAAGGCAACAAGGCCCTCCAAAGGCTCCCTGGCTTCATTCTAGTCTCTTGCTGTCAGCTCACTGGGATGCTTGCTTTCAGCTTTAAGGACACCCACACACAGACAACACACATTGTTGTGTAAAGTCCAGTTCATTCTGGCTCAAAGCAACTCACGGGCCCATGATACAAAGCGGAACTGCCCAAGTGGGTTTCCTGGAACTGAGAGATGCTTTCCTCTTGATGGACTGCATCTTAGCCCCACATAGAAGAGTTCACGTATACTACACATCAATGATTCACGGTTTCACGTATATCTTTCCACCCCGCCTTGATTTGCTTTGTCCCAAGGAACTCTGGCTGTGTGTGGGGTCCATGTTGGGCTAAATGCAAGGGCAGGAGTTCGGAATCTACTAGTTGCTCCTTGGGAGAACAAGCTTCACCTTCTGTCTGCTCCTGTAAAGATTTATAGCTTCACAAATCCAATGGGGTAGCTCTAGTGTGTCCTATGGGGTTATCCTGAGTTGGACTTGCCTCAGGGGCAGTTAATTTTTTGTCCTCTTCAATCTCCATGAGATTACAAACTCAGGGAGCCCTGGATTAAACACTGGGCTACTAACTGCAAGATGGTAGATGGTTCAAATCTACCAGCCACTTTGAGGGAAAAACATGAGCTAGTCTCCTCTTGTACAGATTTATAGCCTCAAAAACACTAAAGAACAGTTCTACTCTGTCCAACAAATTAGCAATGAACTGGATCAACCTGATAAACTCTAAACAAACTGCCATTGAGTCAATACTAACTCATAGGGGCCCTATAGGACAGTGTAGAACTATCCCTGTGAGTTTCTGAAATTGTAACTCAGAGAGTAGAAAGCCCCATCTTTCTCCCATGGAGTGGTTGATGGTTTTGAACTGCTGACTTTGCAGTTATCAGCCCAATGCATAGCCATTAGGCCACCAGTGTTGCAATCCATCAACTCAATAGCAACAGAGATCCTGTGTACAGATAATTTCTGGGGTTACCCTTCAATTCTGTTGACTGCGTTTCTTCTGTACACCATGACGCAAGAATTTTCATGTCGATCAATGTCTTATCCACTGGAGGAAGATGAGACTGCCTACTCCCATAATGATTTAGTCTTAGAAACCCTACGGGGCAGCTCTACTCTAGTCTACAGCAGTGGCTCTCAACCTTCCTAATGCCGTGACCCTTTAATACAGTTGCTCATGTTGTGGTGACCCCGTATGTGGGCCTATCTGCAAGTGGGCAGACCCACCTGGAGATGGATAGAGGAGCGGTGTCTCAGTTCCTAAGACCATCAGAAATATGGTCTTAGGTGACCCCTGTGAAAGGGTCATTCGACCCCCAAAGGGTCGAGAACTGCTGTTCTATAGGATTGCTAGAAATCAGAATCAGCTCATTGACAGTGGGTTTAGGATCAACATTTCACAGTCCAATCGAAAAACTGCATTAAAAAACAAACAAACACATTCATGTCAGAGCAGCAGAATTCAATGTGTTCCCCACTAGGCAGCCTTTCCTCTGTAGTTTTGGTATCAATGCTTTACAATATAAGCTGGTAAAAGTCCTTAACACCTCAAAAGGTAACTTAATTCCCTGGGGAAAAAAATCTTGTTTCCCTATATTCTGAAAGCCTACAGGCTCAGAGGCTGGTGAAAGATGAAACAGAAAGGGAGAAAGAACCAAGCTGTTAGGGTATTAAGTTTAGGAGATTCATTGGGAAGTCTTCAGAGTTTGAGGACTCTGAGTCTACAGTCTTTCTGCAGAGGGCAGCTGTAGCATACCTCAGCAGTAGCACTGTGCCTCAGTCTCCAATGTCTGTCTGTTACTGGCTGGGATGAATGCTATCACCATCTAGAGTTCACCTGTAGCAATGTTCGCAAGAGATGTTTTGACCAGAACTTATAGAGTGAACCGAGGTGGCTGGCAATGGAACTGACAGAGAATATGGGACAGGCAGAGTCCCTTACTGCCAGCTGAGAGAGACCTCTGTGGGCTCTACTGAGCTGAGGGTCAGGGATCAGAGCAGTCCTGTGGGAAGAGGGTGTTGGCCTTGCCCAACTGGAAGGCTAAGACCTGCAACAAACAACTTTCAGGTCTTCCCTCCTTCAGGGAGCCTAAAATCAGCATGGGCACACTGCTGAGGACAGTATTTGGTAAGGAGAAAATTAAAGTGGTCACTTCCTCCTTTTGGAATACTTTTTCCTCCCACTTAACCAAACCTATTGCCAAGCTTGGTTTGTGTCTCATCTTAAAAAAAGGCAGGATGCAGAGGTGACCCAGGGTCGGCCTCTCGTCAGTGTGGTCATCACACTAGATTCCTAGTGGCAGGACCAGGCTGAACACTGCCCCCACAGAGGTGGACAGAGACAGGAACCCAATCAGCACCCAGTTCACAGATGCCAGAAGGCAGCCAGCAACTGGTGCAATGCTGTCTTTCAGCTCACTGGGTGGGTAGTCTTCCCACCCAGGTAAAATGTAGGTGGACAGAGGAAGGAGGTCACAGAAGTCTAATGGCACTAAGGAAGTGGGTACTTGCCTACAGAGACAAACTGTGGAATCATCACCTGATAGACTCTAACAAAGGTGGACATACCTCACAGACCCCAGTGGTCTGCCTGCCTTGCTTGGAAACTGCCCCCTCTGGGGACCTCACATGCAGTATGCAGCTGACTAGGCTGCGGGGGCGATGAGACCTGCAGGAGAGCCATAGTTGCTCAGCTCACCATGGGGCTGCGGAACATGAGGGACACGCAGGACTGCATGTAGCTCTCCTCCTTACAGGCTGGAGTTAAGAGGGAAGCCGAGAGAACACAGGGTTAGAGGGAGCAGCCTGACCTAAATGCTCTCCAGGTTCCAGTTCCCCCTTTCTAAGGCTGTCCTGTCACAGGCTGCCAGTTGGAAGCACA